AGGTCGATGCTACTTGACGCGAGTCGACGCGAAATCGGCGCTATCTCATTGACTACCAAATTCTAACCGACGCCAATCGACACTAAGGATGGACTTACGAGGGTACGCAAGGCTCCCATGATTTGCTACCGAAGGAGGGGCGGGGTTAGGAGGCAACTCCTGGGAGGTCTTCGCCAAAACGATCAAAGGCCATTCAGCCCGATTGTGGCGCCACTGAGCCGGATAAGGCCAGAGGAAGCGGGACTGCGCGGGACTAAGCCATTCTCAAACGGGATGAAACGAGATTCGGGCGGTTCTCGACCAGGGATCTGCCAGCGCCGGTTATGAACCTAAACTCCCAGGACCTGCATCCTGTAAGGGGGGATGGGGGGCCGCCGATCCGAGGGTGCGAGGCTTCGGGGGCGACCCTGCGGCCTGGAGCCAGGACCATTTGCAAGTGTCCCAGATAAACCTGCTGCGTGTCTTCAAAGTCCGAGATTTGCTTGTTTTCAGAAGTCCTCTTAAGCCGTCAGGACCTCACCCGTCTGATGGTGGGACCTCACCCGTCCCGTTGTGACCCAAACCTATCCTGGGGGAGCTTCTCCTCCTCCTCCTCCTCCTCCTCCTCCTCCTCCTCCGTCCTCCTCCTCCTCCTCCTCCTCCTCCTCCTCCTCTTCCTCCTTGCCCCTCCTGCCCTTCGTGGCACCTTACTGGTCGCGCTGCCTGGTGCCAGCCGTAACCGCTCAGACTGCCACCGAGGTCTTTCCTCCACGGTGCAATTCTTGTTTCGGCGCGTCCTTCGTGATTGCACGATTGGGGTAGCCCTGCTGAGGTGCAACGTCTTTTAGTTCTGGAGGAAACAGCCTCCGCGTCCTCTCGTGAGGATGCTCAGCTGGAGGTCCGCGAATTCGAGCGAGGGCATGCGCATCGAGTGATTAGGTTACTTTCTGTCAGTTCGGATGCTGGCACTTCTCGCCATGCGCTGGGCCGTGTGCGTAGTTACTTGGGGCGCGGATCCCCTTCCGAAGCCAACACGTCTCCTTCTTATTCCAGCGCCGTGCCGATCTCAGATCTCCCTTCTGATCCTCCTCAGCCATCCCCCGCTCACCCCGCCTCGGCCTCCTCCGCCTTCCAATCAGTCATTCTTTCTCGTCGGCCGTCTTGTCCTATCTTCCGTCCCGTCCCCTTTCCCTGACGGCCTCTCCTCCTCCTCACAGTGAGACTCCACACGGAAATGCACTCACCCTGAAAACTTCCGCCCGGAGGAAAACGTCAATCGGCGAACTCACCCGCGTCGCGTTCGCACGGGGGCGGGTGAACACATTTCGAGGGAGAGTGCCCGCCTCCCAAGGGACCCCTGTGGGCTCCCACGGTGCCCGGTGGAGTGGTCCGATGGGCTCCAGGGGGCATCTGTGGACTTTCGCGGACTCCCACAGCACCCCTGCGGAGCCACATGGGCTCCTATCGACACACTCGACGACGGATGGCTCGAGAACCCTCCACGAGTGTTCATCCAGGCTGCTTCCGACTTTGATGAACTCCTGTCGACCCACATGGGCCCCAATGGTACTTCAGCGCCCACCACGTGCAAACAAGCCAACCACGACATGAGGACAATTTACCCAGATGAACTCCTCCGATCCGCTCATCTGGACCAACTCACGTACACCACTGCATGGGAACACCACATGCTGGATAGAGAAGCGGCGCGCATTCTGCTGCCCGCCTGGATCCCTGTTGATCCCCGTGGGTGGCTGTGGCTTTCTCCTTGGCCTGGTGTGCCGCAATTTCCGACGGCCGCTTGGATCCCCGTGGATCCCTGTCGGGTCCCTATGGCTGCCCACGCCGGCCCGGTGTGCTCCGCTCTCTCTGCTCGACCCCGTCCTCCCTGAGCGTGCCGTGCCGGCCAGCCTGCCCGGCCCGCCTCTCCAGAGCAGGCCGACCGCTGCGAGGACCAGGCCGCAGGCGAGGCCAAGGCGGCAGGCGGGGCGCCCGCGGCAGAGGCGACGGCGGCGGAGACGGCAACAGAACGACAGAACCTCCTAACACCCAGACCCCCTCGAGCAATGAAGAACTCACGACGGCAAGCTTGTCACCATGCTTCGGCCTCTGGTGCCCCCTGCCGGGCCTCGGGGCCGTCGAGAAACGACACCGGATGAGAAGCCAGTCCCGGGGAAGGGGTAGAGAACTCTGGGGAACGAGGCGGCGAGGTCCCGAGGTGGTCCGCGTGGGACGTACCTCCGCCGGGCCTCCCAGGAGCCCACGAAAGTGGCGACGGTTGCGCAGATCGCAAGCCCCCCAGGGGGCGGCGAGGTCCCGAGGTGGTCCGATGAAAAAAACATGACGTCGGGGGTCTGGGCACGCAGTCGTCCGGAGGCCCGCGCGGCCTTCTTGGCCCGGGGAGGCGCCACCCGCCTTAGGCGGCGAGGGCCGCGCACACCGGGGACGGGCGAGGAGGCGGCCCGGGCACTCCCCGGGGGCGCAGGGCGGCGATAGGGCGGCGAGGGCGGAGCCCCGTGGACGAGCGGCGGGCGCGGCCGCGGGCCGACGCGAGGAGAGGGCGGAGGGGCGCGCCCGCGACGGCGACCGCGCCGCGGAACTGGTAGAGGTCGACCGAGGGCGGCTCGCACTCCAGCTCCACCGGCGTGCGCAGCACCCTCTCCTCCTCCTCCTCCTCCTCCTCCTCCTCCTCCTCCTCCTCCTCTCCTCCTCCCCCCCCCCCCTCCTCCCCTCCTCCTCCTCCTCCTCCTCCTCCTCCTCTCCTCCTCCTCCTCCTCCTCCTCCTCCTCCTCCTCCTCCTCCTCCTCCCCGCGGGCTTCCGGCGGAGCGCTCCGCCGTCCGCGGGCGCTGCCGCAAGGCCAATTGCTCCTTCCTGCAGGGGGGCAGGTCCGCGTCCCGGACCCGTGCTTGCTATCCCCGTGGGAGGAGCGCCCAGAACGGCCCCCAGAGGCCGCCATGGAGGACAAGCGCCAAGGCTGTCGGAAAGAACTGTCCGCCGAGAGTCCGGGTCCGCGGTCTCTCCCTCCCCTCCGCACCCCCCCCCCACCCCTATGATACAGTGGAGGCCAGTCCACACGACACTTCCCACAAGAAACCCAACGCTGCGATCCCGGGACGTCCATTCCTTTTTGGTGTGGGAAGCGCCCGCGGGCATCCCCGGCGGGCGGGGTGCAGGGACCAGGGGGCGAGAGTTCGGCGGCCTTCGCTGCATGGCACTCGAGCGTGGGCGGTCTTCCCAGATGCCGGAACCTCTGCGCAGCGTGTCGCGGCGGCGGCCCCGGCGACGCGGCACGTCTTGCGAGCGGATAGCGCTTCGCTCCGCTCCGCAGCCCCGACTCCGGGTCCGCCCTGCTCTCGGGAAATTCGTAAGTGGGGCTTGGAAGTTCCGCCTTACTTTTCAAGCCCCGCGGATGCCAATTTCCGCCCTACTGTTCTGTTGCTGTTTCCGTGGATTTCCGCCCCATTTTTATGTTGGGTGCAGCAATTTCCGCCCTACTTTTTCGGCCTCTTATAGGTGGAGTTCCGACGCAGTTTGAAGTTGGAAAAAAAGCCAAAGTAGGGCGGATCCGGAGTCAGGGAGGGGCGGGAAGCTGGGAATCCACAACAGCTCGATGCCATGACGCCTGGGGACGTGGGACGTGGATGGCGCGTCGCGCCGACGCGTGGCGAGCCAGAGCTGGCGGCGCGCGACACGCTGCGCCAAAGTTTCCTGACCTCATGGCGTCCTCGGGAGGAGGAGGAGGAGGAGGAGGAGGAGGAGGGAGGAGGAGGAGGAGGAGGAGGAGGAGGAGGAGGAGGAGGAGGGAGGAGGAGGAGGAGGGGGGGAGGAGGAGGAGGGGGAGGGGGAGGGGGGGAGGGGGAGGGGGAGGAGGGGGAGGGGGAGGAGGAGGAGGAGGGGAGGAGGAGGAGGAGGAGGAGGAGGAGGAGGAGGAGGAGGGAGGAGGAGGAGAGGAGGAGGAGGAGGGAGGAGGAGGAGGAGGAGGGGAGGAGGAGGAGGAGGAGGAGGAGGAGGAGGAGGAGGACGAGCCCCTACCGCCAGGACGAACAGCAGGCCATCCGACGAGCGACGAGGCGGGGCCCCAGAGGGCGACAGGGCCAACGGCGCGAGGGAGGTCGACGGGGGCGGCTGGAGAGGAAGGGCGCCGGAGGGCCCGAGCCAGAGGGCTCGGCCGAGCATCCCCTCTGCCCAGCCTTCGGGGGCAACGCATGGGAGCCTCCCATACCATCTAGCTGGCTCCTACGAAGTAGCGCTAATCGACACCAATCGACGCTACTCGAGGCCAAGTCGACGGACATCGACGCTAGTCGGCGCCAAACCGGCGCTACCTCATAACTCATAGATTACCAGACGCTAGTCGCTGCGCGCTCTAAAGACGGAGCCACGGAGGTATGCAAAGCTCTCATGATTTGCTACCTAACCCACTCTCACAAAGCAATGTGTCCTCCTCCGTCCCTCCTCTTGGGAGACGAAGAAGATGGGATGGAGGTAATCTCGAATCGGGGGGAACCGCGGAGCTCTGAGAACCAGCGGGTGCGAAGGATGTATGGGTGCGGCGGCCATTTCAAGGGGCTCTGGAACGCTCCGATCCCAGACCCCCGACGTCATGATTTTTTCATGACGCGACCCCCAGAGGTCTGGACCTATTCGCCGGGACCGGTTTTTCATCCTGAGTCGTTTTTTGACGGTCTTGAGGGCCGGTAAGGGCTCCCAGAGGAGGAAAACATGGAAAAACCTTCCGTCGTGATTTTTTCATGACTCGAGGGGGTCTGGGATAGCGTTGCGGATCGCTCTGGAGCGATTTGTCTTCATCCCAAGCTTGCCAAACCCCCCTGTCACAATTTTCCTCCCGATCGCTTTCCTGCATGGCCCCCGTCGTTCAAGCTCCTGCCTGCATTCACGCATCTCGCACAACCCTGTGGATCAAGACACCAAACCGGCTACTCGCAAGAAACTGACACATACAATCATCTGTCACAAAGCCACACCAGTAACGACACAAACACTCAAACCTTCACAGCGCCTAGGGTACGCTCTTCTCCCTACGCGCACTGCTGTCGCCTCTCCAGTCATATCCTGAAGGGCATTGACTGGAGCACGCCCGCACCTGCTCAATGCCAATTTCAGCCACAGCCGGGGCCCTCGTCTTCTTCTTCAAATTGCTCTCTCCATCCAAGCTGGCTGTCTCGACATAGCAATGACCTGTGCGCAGGGCAGCTAGGTAGCATGAGTCTGCTGCGGCGAGCGATGAGAGAATCAGAGGGCAAGTAGAAGATGGGGCTGACAATTTCCAGAGAATGCATTCGTGGGAGCTTGCTGGTCAGCCCTCCCCCCCTCTTGCAAGATCAGAGGACGACACTCTGTCCAACGCAAGGCCGAATGAATATTTACATCAGTGCCCGTGCAGAGCGTGGTGGAGCCAGCAGGTGACCCCACGACCACATGGAAACCGAGCCGAGGACCCACGGGTCCTCCAGGGTCCTGGGAGAGCTCCGTTCCCAAGCAGAAGCGCCCAGACATCCGGCGTCTCGACTTCCTCAGCCCAGGACGACACGCTGCCCCTCTGGCCATCGCTCGGACGTCCATTCCCTGTGTTTTGTTCGGTCTCGTGCGTGGCTCTTTCGCCAATGATCAAGGATGCTCCTCGATGGTCCTCGCCGAAGGAAAACAATGCACACGCCCGAGCGATGCCAAGCCCCTGGGAAGGGGTCGAACCCCGTGGGGACCGTGCCTTGAAAACAGGAAGCCGTCCGATGTCTGAGTGCAACGATCTCGCGCCGGCCTGCTGGCGACACGGCAGGCCTGCCCAGATGGGCTGTCGCTGGACGGCCCGTCGGGATCTGCGCTCTCCTGCGCCATCGCTCCTCACAGAACAGCGGGGTCGAGGGCAGGTTCGGAGGGCATTTGGGCGCTGGGCTTCTCTGGGCCTCCCATGGCGCCCCCGTGGCCACGGCTGGATCCGCCTCGAAATTCTGGTCTGGACGCCCTCCAGAAGAGGTCCGCAGTCGTCGTCGGCGTCGTCGTCGTCATTGTCGTCGTCGTCGTTGTCGTCGTTCTCGTCGTCGTCGTCGTCGTCGTCGTCGTCGTCGTCGTCGTCGTCGTCGTCTTCATCCCCCTCCCCTTCTTCTCCACCTCTCCCGCCGAGATGCCCACTCCTAGTGATCGCAGTTCACGCGCAATTATAGAACGTCGCAGGTGCGGCTTATCTGCCGCCAGTAGGCTGCGACGCAGTAGGGTGAGATAAGCAGGCCACAGCTGCCTTGGGACAGGCGCGAGTGCGACCAAATGCGACACAGCAAGCAAAAGCGGGACACTAGGTGAAGCTCCCACGAGCCATCCTGAGAATGCCCGACGGCCTCCAGAGGCCACTTGGAGACCCTGGAAGCCCCTGGAAGCTATTCGCTATACTGGAAGCCCTCTGGGCTCCAGAGGGCGTCTGCGCTGGAAATGAGATTCTCGATGGACGTACGGAGCCCCGGGCGTGAGCAGACACCCGGGGTGATGCTGGGATCCCCCTGCGTTGCCCGTACAGCGTTCAAGCTGACGGGACGACTTGCTCGCCCAGATCGGAGAAACTTGTCGGCACGGGGAGGGGCACGAGCGGCATGAAGAGGAGGAGTTGGCGGAGGAGGGATGTGAGGACCAGTGTACACCCAAGACGCACCAACGGTGCTGCAATGAATCCCCCCTCCGAATCCCGACAAGAAGATATGATGATTGCAGTAAGTGCCCTATTGAGTCACAACCGTCTGAGAATCCTCGATCAGGCCAGATCACCGTCCCTGGGACATCAAAGCCGCGAATACACGTGACTGTTGCGTCCTGACAATCGCGAACCGCGCCACAACGCCGCTCATGGCACTTCAACAATGCGAATCAATGTGAGTATTGCGACCTGGCAACCCTGAATCGCGCCAGAACGCCATTCCTGGGACTCCAACTTTAGGAATCCTTGAGCATGCTGCAACCTTTTAGGACGAATGCGCGCTGCGCTAAGGCAAAAGCCACATTCTGAAAAGGAACCGCCCTCCATCCTTGACGCTGCTGCGAACTTCTAAAACGAATGTGCGCGGCGGCAAAGCGAGAACAACATCTTCAAACAAAAACGCCTTCAATGCTTGATGTTGCTGCAAACGTGTAACACGAACGTGCGCGGCGCGCCACATGTTGAAGACAACCCGGCCAACATGTTTGAGGCTGCTGCCTACCTTGCACACAACTTTCGCGCGACGCTGAAGCGAGAACCGCATTCTTGAAAATCATGCGCCCTCCACCGTTTAAGATATTTCAAGCTTCGAGATCATAAATGGTGAGGAAAGAACAGTCTCAGGCGAAACGCCTGGCAGGCCACACCGACACGTTTGGGGGTGCGACAATGGGACAGTTATGTATAACACAAAGGAAGAAATGGCGGCACTAGGAGAAGGAGAGCGAAGAGGAGACACGAGGAGGAGGAGGAGGAGGATGGAACGAAGGCAGAACAGGGAAGAAAAAAAAGGGGAACACCCTCCCCAGACGCTGCATATTTCGACGTGGGCCCCCAGAGATCCGCTACTTCGCCACGACCAGGGCTTGTCATCCTGATCACGATGTTTTTTTGGGCCGGTCCTGGAGCTGGGAAGTGACCCTCAGAGGTCAAATACGTGTAAGAAAGCCGTCGTCCGAGCTTCTGGCGACGACCGTACATGAAGGGGGCGGGGCCCCGCAGACGGAGACGCCGATGAGCAAGGACGCTGGCCTTCGTGAAAAATCTGCGGCCGTGGGCCGACACGTCCTCCATGCTGGGGTTTCTGCAGCTGGATCTTGCAGTGCCCTGGATGGCAGTGTCGTTCGGGGGCGGGCAGAAGCACCCCCCGCTCGCAAAAACACTTTGTAACACTTTGTGCGTCGCAGCGCGGCAGAAGTGATCCGCACGCGCGCTCCCACCGGCCGGGGCCGGGCGAGCTGAGCGCCCGGCTGCAAGAGGAGAGACGGAGGCGGACGGCGGCCGCAGGAGGCGGGTGGAAGCGGGAGGGCGCCCACTGCACGAAGACCTTCGTCGGGAGCGGCCGGTGCGGCCAGCCTGTGCTGAGGCAGCCTGGCAGCGGACGCGGAAAGGCACCACGGCCACACCCAGGGACTGAGGCAGAGGCTGCAGGCGCAGAAATCGTTGCTCAAGCAGTGCCAGTACGGGAGGAGCGGCAAGCGAGCCCACAGCAGCGAGAACAGGAGCATCCGGGCGTCCGTCGCGAAACCGTAGGAGACAAGCTCTGTTGCAAGGGTACGGCGCGAGCAGGAGGCGAGCATCGCCGGAGCGACCATGGGGTGCGGGGGCCACTGGGCCGTGCAGGAAAATGCTGCCATGAAGACAACCAGAGCGGCTGATTTGCTGGGCTGCAACAACTGGCCTGCTGAGCTGCATCTGATGCGGGGCCACACGCCCCGTTCGCAATACACGCTGTAGTGAAGACGACAGCGCGCACCAGACCTGGCGGGCGCAGGCCCGCAGAAACTGGTGCCGCAACGCCCCCTCGAGATCCGCAAAGGGGCAACTCGCGGGGTGTGGGGGGGCCCGTCCGCCTCCGAGCGGCTTCTGCCTCGGGCTGCCCACAGACAGCCCCCCGGATAGTTTCGGCTGGCCTCCACAGGCTCCCACCCCAGCCCTGCGGCGCCAGGGTGCTGAGACAGCCCTGCAGGACTACTCCGTGGCCTGCTGCGGTCTGTGCGCAACACGGGGAGCTGCCTGTGCGCACCCGGTGCCTTGCAAGAGGAGAAAGAGGCGGGACCCAGACCCCCGACGTCATAATTTTTGCCTAACGTCGATCCCCAAAGGGCTCGACCCATTCCCCAGGACGGGTTTCATCATGACTGGCTTTTGACAGCCCCGAGGCCCGGCAAGGCCCCCGCGAAAGCCGAAAATAGAGAATTACCGTCCGAAGTGCTTACTTCGTGACTCGAGGGGGACTGCGTTACCAGAGGCGGGAGGAACAAATTAGCCTGGCGAAAAAACCCAACCATACGCAGTTGTGAATACCGGTATTGTGAATACCATCTTCGCCCACGCTCCATATGTGGCCACGGCTTCCCGCCGGAGCCCGACATGCTCAGGGACACGTTCACGGCCGTCTTCGCGGGCGCCGACGACGACGAGGACGGCGCCCCCCTGACCGAGGAGCAGAGGCAGGAGAGGGCTCTGAAAACCATGAGGGAAGCTGCCACTGGCGCCTTCGGTGGAGCTCCTATGGGGCCACGATCCTCGTGAGGGGGTGTGCCGAAATGGCCCGAGGCCGCTATGCGAACCCTGACGCTGGGTTCTTCGGTGGAGCTTCCTATGGGGCCACGATCCTTGTGATGGGGTGTGCCGAAATGGTTCGAGGCCGCCATGCGAACCCTGCCACTGGCGCCTTCGGTGGAACTCCTATGGGGCCACGATCTTCGTCAAGGGTGTGCCGTAATGACCCGAGGCCGCCATGCGAGTTCCGCCACTGGGACCTTAGGTGGAGCTCCCTATGGGGCCACGAAACGCGTGAGGGATGTGCCGAAATGGCCCGAGGCCGCCATGCGAGTTCCGCCACTGGGACCGTAGTTGGAGCTCCCTACGGGGCCACGAAGCGCGTGAGGGGTGTGCCGACAGAGAGACATGCGCAGGGCAGAGGCAAGGAGGGGGAGGAGGAGAGGAGGAGGAACGCGGGAGGAGGAGAGGGAGGAGGAGACGCGGAGGAGGAGAGGAGGAGGAGGAGGAGGAGGAGGCAAGGAGGGGGAGGAGGAGGAGGAGGAGAGGAGGAGAGGAGGAGGAGGAGGAGGAGGAGGAGGAGGAAGACCCGACACCACGGGATGGTTGGGAAAAACAACACCGACCTGAACTTTCGGAGGTATCTGCGCAGACTGCTCGGATCGGCGCTGGAGGCGCCACCATGTGGGCTAGGGGGGGCCCGGCGCCGACCCGAGAGCTCCGCGCGGATCGACGGCAATGTATGCAGTTTTGTGCTGCTGTCTCTTCTGCGAGTTAGGGGATCGGGGAGGCGCAAGACTCGGTCACGGGGGACTCGGGTTGGCTTGACTTTTTTTTTACAGCCGCAGGCGGAAGCGCCGGCGGCGGCCGGTCACGGTCGGGCTGCGGCCGTAACAAATTAGCCGGGCGCGCGCGCGGGCCGCGGATCAGGCGGCGGTGCAAGCTGCAGCGGGTTGGCTTGACGCGGCCATCATGAAAAGGACGCGACCCAGTCCGCACTCTGACGCGGGCTCCCACTGGACATCCCAGGCAAACTGGAGCGTCAGAATCCGGGACGCGCTCCTCAAAAAGCGGCGGCAAACCCGAGTCCCGGCGCACTCGAGTCTTACGCGTCCCTGAGGGAAGCGGGAACGAGGGCCTTCCGGATCGCTGGAGCCCAGCAGCAGCCCGTCCGCGGCAAGGCGCTCGCCCTCGCGCACCCGCAGCACCATGCCGGGCCGCACCTCGTGCCAGCGAAGCCGCCTGCGGGTCGATACTCTGGCTCTGGCCATTTGACACATGAGGGGCTGACATCAGGAGGCGCTCGACCACAAGAAACCTTCCACAAGAAGCCCAACCCTAGAACTCCAGGACGTCCATTTTTGGTATAGGAACGTCACGGTTTCCACGACAAAACCATTGAAAACCAAGAAACCCAGGGCACCCTGGAAGCAAGCAGGGTGTTTCTTGGCATGGGTCTCCTCTGTATCATATTGTACCAGGAGGCAGCAACTGCTGAGGTCTCCTGACTTCCTACCAGACCACCCCGAACCAGCCCGAAGTCACAAGTTTCGGGTTAGGTGGCGAATGGGTTCCACATCTGTGTGGTTGTTCCATGTTCTGGGGTACCCCCCCACTGGGAATGGAGGGCAACTTGGGCGGGTTGGGATGGGGTAGTTTGGGTGCGTAGTGAACTTCGTGGGAACGAGGGGGGGCTATGCGGCCCGATTGAGAGGCCACCAAGCCGCATCAGCCCAAATTGAGCCAATGAGCAGTCCATATGAAGCGGGATGAAACCGGATCAAGCGGGATTACGGTCAAGCATTTTTGCTTGGAACGTCGTGGCGGCGGCCCGGGCGACACGCTGTGCCCTGCGAGCTGGTAGCGTGTCGCTCCGCTCCGCGGGGCGGGTGGCTGGCAAAGGCTCGGGACGGTGACGCCCGTGGTGGTCAAGCGTGTCTCGCCGAAGCGTGGCGGGCCAACATCGGCGGCGCGATGCGCTGAGCCAGAACTCCTTGCCCGCGTACCAGAGTGGGCCGGTATTCGCCCACACATGTGCCAGCGCCGATCCCCAGAGAATTGCGGGGCTTGTCCTCTCGCCATATGGTGAAGGCGCCGACTCCCTGGCGGCGAGGAAGGGCCCTCAGATCCAGGCGGCGCCAGACGGCGTCGCGACGGCCGGCTTCTACGGGCAGGTAGCTTCTGCGTTGCGTGTCGCGGCGGCGGTCCGGGGACACACCATGCCGTGCGAGCGGACAGCGTGTCGCTCCGCGTCGCGGGACAAGAAGTCCCGAAACGCTCGGTGCGCTGTCGCTCGGGGACCAAGAAGTGGTCAGCGTGCCGCGCCGAGGCGTGTTGGGCCAGACCCGGCGGCGCGACACGCTAAGCCAAAAACCCTGACCGTTAATGATGGACGTTCGGCCCCTGATCGGGGACGCACTAATCCGGGTCAGAACACACCCGGGTCCGCCAGGGCCTTGTCGCAAAGCCTGGCCAGCCGCCTGGTAAATGCCAAACCAGGGTGACCGGAGGGCAGAAAGGAGGAATTGGCCCCACGTATTAGCTCCCAACCACGGGTCAGCCAGAGGAGGTCGACTGACTCCCGTTACGTGAGCCCGATCTGAGGGCCGCTTCGCGGCCCCTGGTGGGCCGTCAAACAATGGCTCACGGAGAGAAGCTGGCCCCGGAAGGTGAAATGATCGTTATGGGGACCTTCCTGGAGCCACTCGTTCCACTCGCGCGTCGATGCTGCGTCGAACGTCCGTGGACGTGAGCCGAACCTTCATCGAACATGAATCAAAGCTATCAAACTCGAGTCGTACAGAAGTCGAACTAGTCGAACAAATCCTATGGCTGGGTCCCAGGATGCTCCCCCAAACGAGCATCTACGGAATGGGTGGAGCCTCCCCCGGGGCCGACGTCTCGGAGGGGGTGCGACGATCGAGGAGCGGGAGCGGCATGAAAAGGCGGAAGGGGGGGGAGGAGGGAGGAGCTGACGACACGGAAGGGTCCGAGAGCGCGTCGACGAGAGGAGGAGGAGGAGGAGGAGGAGGAGGAGAAGGAGGAGGAGGGTGAGCTGGACAAAGATAGGGGAGCAGCGGCAGACGAAGGGGAAAAAGAAGCAGCAGCCGAAGGGCTGGGGGCAAGGGGGCGGGAGGAGGGGCAGGACTTACCCTGACAGCTGGCGCCTCGACTCCTGCGGGGGCACGGGCCCCCGAGACCTCCCGCCCACTGCCCTGGGACCCGTCTTATGATATCCCGAGCCGTGTTGTTTGACGATATCCCGAGGCCCGGCAGGGGCACGGAGAGGCGCCGAACCGTAGGAGCAAACTTCGTCGCGAATGGCTCGGGACGCGGGATGTCTGGGGAGGCAGGAAGTGGGGAGGAGGCCCTGACTCCGGATCCGCCCTACTTTGGGGAAACTCGTAAGCAAGGCCTGGAATGTCCGCCCTACTCTTCGAGCCCCGCCGATGCCAATGTCCGCCCTACTTTTCTGTTGCTGTTTCCGCCCTACTTCTGTGGACTTCCGTCCTACTTTGTGTTGGGTGCAGAAATTTCCGCCCTACTTGTTCGGCCTCGTATGGGTGGATATCCGACGCAATTTTAAGTTGGAAAAAAGCCAAAAAGTAGGGCGGATCTGGAGTCAGGGAGGGGGGAGGAGAGAGGAAAAATTGGCTCGCCCGCCATGGGTACGGAACTGAGGGGCACGATACCCCACAGCAGAGATTCTCCCAGAGATTGTCCCCAAACCTGCAGCGGCCGCTGTTAGGCAGCCGCCTTCCTTTCTCGAGAGGACAACGTCCGCGGCGACGCCGACAGCAATGGGCAGGACATTTTGTCACAGCTGGAAATATGATCAAGAAAACTTGGATTTGAGATATCTAGGCCAGCCTCGCGGAAGTTTCTTAAATCAAGCCTGGGCCAACTTCTGTTAGTAACACTGGAGGGGGCGAACGTGCTCGAGAAACTGGGCCAGCTTTCCCACGAACTGGTCAAGAAACGCTCGCCGAGATTTCTGAATCAGATGCTCGGCTCTTAGTCTTCGCGCCCTTCCTTTCCGCACCCAATTCGGTTCTCCAGACAGAAGGAGAGGGCTGCCAGACAGCCGCCGAGCACTGCCACGCCTCCACGCCGGGCGGGCACTCGAAGGGTCGACGTGAGGGAAGCACCTGCTCAGGGCGCCTGCCAGCCCCCCCTTTCGAGGCCCCGAAGACCCAGACCCCCTCGCGTCGTCACCAGGAATCGCAAGGGAAAAAATGTATTCGGCTATCTCCCAAATCTCTGAGGGCCCTTACCGGGCATCAGGACCGTCAAGGAACGACCCGGGATGGAATGCGTAGGCTTGGTTCGCCCCAGTCTCGATTCGCCTAGCTCGATTCGCCCGGCTCGATTCGCCCAGCTCGACTCGCCCGAGTCTCGATTCGCTCGGGGCTCGATTCGCCGGGCTCGATTCGCCGAGTCTCACTTCGCCCGGCTTTATTCGCCCGTTTCGATTCGCCCGAGTCTCGCTCGATCCGCCTAGCTCGATTCGCCTGGGCTCGATCCGCCCGGCTGGACTCGCCCTGCTCGATTCGCCCCGGGCTCGAATCGCCTGGCTGGATTCGCCCAGGCTCAGTTCGCCCGAGTCTCGACTCGCCTGGCTCCGCCCACCCGACACGACGCGCCGGTCAAGGTCCACCCGCCGGACCAGACCAGCCCGTTGGGGCTCGCCCGCCCGACCCGACCCGCCCGTTAGGGTTCGCGGGTGCTAATTATCTCTACGACGCGTCCTATCTTAATGGCCCGCCCGCCCGACCCGACCCGCCCGTTAGGGCTCGCGCGTGCTAACTCGATGATGCGTCCTACTTTAGTGTCCCGTCCACCGCGACCCGACCCGACCCGCCCGTTAGGGTTCGCGCGTGCTAACTCGATGATGCGTCCTACTTTAGTGTCCCGCCCACCGCGACCCGACCCGACCCGCCCGTTAGGGTTCGCGCGTGCTAACTCGATGATGCGTCCTACTTTAGTGTCCCGCCCACCGCGACCCGACCCGACCCGCCCGTTAGGGTTCGCGCGTGCTAACTCGATGATGCGTCCTACTTTAGTGTCCCGCCCACCGCGACCCGACCGCCCAGCAAGGTCCGCCCGCCCGACCCGACCCGACCCGCCCATCAGGGCTCGCGCGTGCTAACTCGATGATGCGTCCTACTTTAGTGTCCCGCCCACCCGACCCGAACCGCCCAGCAAGGTCCGCCCGCCCGACCCGACCCGACCAGACAGGTAGAACCCGCCCGACCTGACCCACCTGTTAGGGCTCGCGCGTGCTAACTCGATGATGCGTCAGACTTGAATGTCCGCCCGACCCGACCCGCCGTCAAGGTCCGCCCGCCCGACCCGACCCGCCCGTCAGAAGGTCCGCCCGCCTGCTCCCCTCCCCCTCCGGATCCCTCCCGTGCCCTGCGCAGCGCTAGCCCGGGCCCCGGCCAACCTCCAGCCCCGCGAGCCCTGGCGAGACGAGCCTCGGCGAAACACGAGACGAGCGAGACCCTGGCGACACGAGCTACCTCGGCGGAGCGAGCCCCGGCGAAGCGAAGCCCCGACGGAACGAGACTCTGGCGCAACGAAGTCTCCCGCGAAGCGGGGCCCCGGCGAGAAAAGCGTGCAGCCCCGGCGAAGCGCGACGGGCGAGCCGAGAGCCCCGGCGAACCGAGCCTCGGCGAACCGAGCTGGGCGGAGCGAGCCGGGCGCACGGAGCCCATAGGCGAAGCGAGCCCCTGAGGAGCAGGATGCGGCGAACCAAATCGCCGGCGAGCCGAGCCCCCTGCAGCGAAGCGAGGCTCCGGAGAACCGAGGCTCCGTGCCAGGTGAAGAACCAGTCTTTGGCAGTGGGTCGAGACTTTTGGGGGGATCGGCCGTGTGGAAGCGGCATGACGCCGGGGGGGGAAGATGCGCCGTCGGAGCAGGAAGGCCTCCCCCTTCTCCGCTTCCCGCCTCCTCTCCTCGCCCCCCTCCCCCATCCACCTCCTCCTCCCCCTCCTCCGCTCCTCCTCCTCATCATCCTCCTTCTTCTCCTTTTTCTTCTCCACCTCCTCCGTCTCCTCCGCCTCCCCCCCCCTCCTCCTCGTCCTTCTCCTCCTCCTCCTCCTCCTCCTCCTCCTTCTTCGACATCGGCTGATTCTGGGCCGTACCAGCGGCGCTCAACCTCTGAACGCCAGCGCCGGTGCCGCCGCCACGTCTTCACGACGCGAACCTGGCGCGCCCCCATGGAAAATCGGCGGCGCGCCAAGGGGGGGACGCACGATGGATGGCAGAGAGCAAAAAAAACCGAATAACCGCCCCGACAAGCGAAGCCATTTCGTAAACGCACCCAGGGAAGGAATCGAACAGGGCAGGGCTGTTCAGTACACGCACAGGGCCGCTCCTAGCAAACGCCAACTATCGGGTCTGGGTGGTTCTTCTTCCCTTGAGACGGGGGGGGGGGAGGGCGGGGCGGCCTTCTGGGAAGGCGGCGTGGCTTCTCGGAAGCACCCGCACCTTCCGAGAAGCCCAGCCCGTGGCCCTCAGACAGGGCCGGCTCGCCCTTCTTCGAGGGCGGGATGGGGAGCTGCCGAATGGCCCCGCCCTCCGAGGAGGCCGGCCGGGCCCTCCCACCCCCCTGGCGGGCCCCCGAGGACGGATACCATCGGGGCGTCGGGGCTTCTGTTCCCAGACCCCTCGCGTTGAGTACAAAGCGCAAAGTTTTTCCATATTTTCGGCCTCCTAGGGGCCCTCGCTGGGCATCGGGAGCGTCAAGAAACGGCACGGGGCGACAAACTGGTCCCCAGAAGGGGGTCCAGACCTCTGGGGGTCGACGCTGCGACAGAAATCACGACGTCGGGGACCTTGGTTCTGGCCCGCGAGCTGAAACGAGCACCCCGCGCGCCGGGGCGCGCAGGGGAGCCCGAGCTGGGCGCATGCGCCCAGCGATCCGACGCTCCCTCCGCCTCCTCCTCCTCCTCCTCCTCCTCCTCCTCCTTCCTCCTCCTCCTCCTCCTCCTCCCTCCTCCTTTTCCTCCTCCTCCTCCTCCTCCTCCTCCTCCTCCTCCTCCTCCGCCTCCTCCTCCTCCTCCTCCTCCTCCTCTCCTCCCCCTCCTGCTCCTCAGAGCATGTGGTAAAGACCTCGAGGTCTTTACCACATGCTGGGCCCAGAAGGATCCTTCTATGCCCGAGCGGGTCCCTTTGGGGGCCCCAAAGGGCCCCTGTTCGGCAGCCCTCTCTGCCCCCCCCATTTATCGCCCCACCATTGCGCGTCCTCCGATTTCGGCCCCCAGGGGCCCTCGCGGGGCCTCGGGACCAGCGAGACACGGCCCGGGACGAAAGACCGGCCCCAGGGAAGTGGCCCAGCCCTCCAGGGCCCAGGGATTGAAACAAAATCAGAGCGTAAATAGCCGGATGCCTGGGGTGGTGGCCCCGACCCGGAAATCCTGGAGAGTCGCGATTCTCTCGCACTGGGCGGTTTCGCCCGCGTTCGGGCACCGCGGCCCTCGCGGATCGATCCGGCTCGAGAGCTGCCACAGAAAGACAAGGCCCACACGGCTCCGGTCCTGACGCTCCGCGAGGCTGCCATGTTCATGGCGACGTCGGGTCCCAGAGACAGGAGCGAAGGTTTTCTCGAAGGTTCCCTGGGGCGACAGAGATGGTTGATGGGCTCGGTTTTCTCGAAGGTTCCCTGGGGGCAGCAGGCAGGCGTGTCCCTCGCAGTCCAGCGCGCGGGGGCCGTGCCTCGGGCACTCGGGCGAGCGCCGCACTTGGTGCTGGCGCTCGTGCGGGTGCCGGATTCGCAAGCAAGGCTCAAACGGCTCAGGCACTGCTGGCAGCGCCCTCTGCCACTCTCAACGGTCCGCGTGCAGTCAAGGGGCAACTGCAGAGGGGGCAGAACACTGCGCAAGGCACAGGATAACGAGGAGGTCCGAGCAGACTTCTCGTGTCGGTGCTGGACCCCCCCTCCCCCGCGCGCGAAGCACGTCAGTCGTGCTGGGGCTATGCCAGCGCCAACGACGGTGGGCGAGGGGGCGGCGGAATGGACACCTGGTAGACCTGCTCGCCGGTTATGGGGTTGAACCCGAGGTGGCCCCGCACGGCCATGGTGGCCTCACGGACCTTGGATCGGTACCTGATCATGTCGTCGTGGAACTTGAGCTGGGCTCCCGCCGGAGTCGCGTCGTAGGTCTGGTTGACGACGTTGTAGGGCTGGCCCGCGTAGTTCTTGCGGCCTATCATGGGGTCGGCCTGCATCCGCTCGACCCTGCGCTGGGCCGCGTCGTTCTGCGCGCTGATCGAGCGCCAGCGCGTCTCCTCGCGTTCGAACTGCTTGGCACGACGCGCTTCCGTGGTCTCGTCTTTCATGTACTTCTTCAGCTCGCGCTCGCCGTAGTTGATCTCTTCGCAGGCAGGACCTGCGGTCATGCGCTCCTTGTTCTTCATGTGGGAGGGACAACCGCGCTGAACATCGATCGGATTCCGGATGTCCTCATACCGGAAGTAGCCGCCACTGCGATGGCGAAGCCTCTCCTCTGGACCAAAAAACAAACGACACCACACCACCTGCGGCCCCACAGGGCTTAGCGCATACCAGAAGAGCTGTCGGGGGCTTTTGCATGGCATACGCCACGGCAACCGAAGAGCCGTAGCGCAACATTCGGCGGCGAGCGAGGTGGGGGCAGCGAGAAGAGAAAGCCTTCTCAGAAGGCGGCGGGACTTCTCAGAAGCCCTCGCGCCTTCTGAGATGCTTTTTGTCTCTTCGGGGAAGGCTTAGGAAACTTCTCAGAAGCCCGGGGGACCTCCGAGCCTTCCGAGAAGGCTTTCTCCTCCTCACTTCCCCCTTATCGCTCGCCGCCGAAACATGCCGGGTCGTAGGTGGGGTGGTGTCGTTTGTTCTGTTGGTCGACTCCTTCTCCAGGGCGTCCTTTGTATTCAGGGCCACCCGCACCGACCTGGAGCGCGGCTGCATCGCTGTTCTATCTGCCGCGCACCAGTGTGAAGCTCACGCGGCGGGCCGCGCTGAACCCGGCGATTGGTAGAAGCAACGGGAACCTAAAAGGTGAACCCCTTGCCCATGATCCAAATGCCAAATGTCTACGGGAAACCATCTATGTATATACAGATGCACATATATATATACGTATACATATGGGGGAGCCAAACTTATCCTGGCGAACAGTCCAACCATGTGCAACTGAACGACAAAACGAAACGGGTCTTACGCGAGATGGCATTGCGACCTTACGCGGTGGCTTACGCGGCCGCCAGACGAGGGCGCTCATGCGCGACCTTACGCGGGCAGCTTACGCGCCAATGTCGGCGTAGTTCGACATGTTTGTTTCGTCGCCCAATTGTGAGTGACACAATCGTGATTCTCGTCTTCGGTGGAACTCCCGATTGGTTTCACGAACCCTGTGAGCGGTGCGCCGAAGTGGGGGGCAGGGGCGCATGCGGGCGGCGCCACTAGGGCCTTAGGTGGAGCTTCCTTTGGGGCTACAAACCGTGTGAGGAAAACGCCGAAAGAAATGAACCGCGCGGACGCATGTAGACGGTGCCATTGGGGCCTTGGGAGGAGCTCCCTATGGGGCCACGAAGCGCGTGAGGGCTGTGCCGACATGGGTGGCGCGGACGCGTGTAGACGGTGCCACTCGGGCCTTCGTTGGAGCTCCTTGTAGGGCCACGAAACGTGTGAGTGGTGTGTCGACATGGGTGGCGCGGAAGCGTGTGGACAGTCCGCTGGGGCCTTCGGTGGAGGCGCCTACTGGGCCACGAAGCGAGTGAGGGGTGTGCCGACATGGGTGGTGCGGACGCAAGTGGAGGGTGCCACTGTGGCCTTCGGTGGAGCTCCCTTCGGGTGCACGCAACGTGTGAGGCGTGTGCCGACATGGGTGGCGCGGACGCATGTGGACGATGCCCGTGGGGCCGTGGGTGGAGCTCCCTTTGAGGCCACGATGCGTGTGAGGGTTGTGCCGAAATTGGTGGGGCGGACGCATGTGGATGTGATTGCTAGGGCCTTGGATGGAGCCCCCTATGGGGTCACGAAGCGAGTGAGGGGTGTGCCGAACGGTGTCCGTGGGGCCTTCGGTGGAGCTCCCGTCGGGGCCACGAAACGTGTGCAAGGTGTGCCGAAATTGGTGGAGCGGACGCATGTGGACGGTGCCAATGTGTCCTGGGGTGGGGCTCCCTAGGAGGTTCGGAGCGTGTGAGGGGTGTGCCGAAATTGGCGGCGCGGGCTCATGTGGACGGTGTCCGTGGGTCCTTGAGCGGAGCTCCCAATGGGGCCGCGAAGCGTGTGAGGGGTGTGCCGAGATGGTTGATTGGTGAAGAGGACAGAGGCCGGGATGGGAGGAGAGAGGAGGGGCAGCGGGGGGGAGAACGGGGGGCGGTGCCTCTTCAAAACGAGGACCCAACACCATAGGATAGTTGGGAACAGAACACATATGCGACATTTTGCCCGCTTGAGCACATCACGAAGCCAAACAAACCTCGCGTCACGCTCCTTTTCCTCAGCGACGGCACTTCTTCGTTTAGACAACGTCGAAAATAAAGATGTGGATGGGAGTGCTGGTGGGGGGAGAAGGGAGTGAGGGGATCGCTGTCACAACCAACCACATAATGTCATACCCATTTGTTCATGCACCAATGAGCATGTTCCACAACTCAGTGAAAAGCATGGCCACATCGTTAGACCTGACCTCGTGAAGAAGCTTGGACCCGATCATTCTGCGAAGGCCCTGGGACCCGACTCTGGACGAACACGCCGGATGCGAAATTATCCCGGCGAAGGACACAATCATATGCAATTGTGAGTACCGTCGTTGCGGGCATCGCCTTCGGGGGATCTCCTCTTGGGGCCATCAAGCATGCGAAGGGTGTGCCGATATTGGGCGGGGCCGCCATGTGTGCGCTGCTACTGGGGCTTAAAGCGGAACAAACTATGGGACCGCGAAATGTGTGACGAGTGCGCCGCAATGTGGCGGTGCCACCACTGGGGCCTTCGGTTGGGCTCCCATATGAGGCCACGAAACGGTGTATTGGATGGGGGAAGCGCATGCGCACACCGCCACTGGGGCCTTCGGTGGGGTTCCCTATGGGGCCACGAAGCGCTGTCTTGGGTCGGGGAGACGCATGCGCACACCGCCACTGGGGCCTTCGATCGAGCTCCCCATGGGGCCACGCAAACGGTTGGGGGAAAGGGAAACGTGCGAACACCGCTACTGGGGGCTCCGGTGGAGCTCCCAATGGGGCCACGAAGCGCTGTACTGGGTGGGGGAAGCGCATGCACACACCGCCACTGGGGCCGTCGGTGGAATTCCCTGTGAGGCCACGAAACGCTCCACCCAATTGGGGAAACGCATGCGGACACCGCCACTGGAGACTTTGGTGGAGCTCCCTATGCTGTCCTGGATGGGGGAAACGCGTGCGGACACCGGCACTGGGCCTTCGGTGGAGCTCCCTATGAGGTAAGGAAACGCTGTACTGGGTAGGGGAAACACATGCGCACACCGCCACTGCGGAGTTCGGTGGAGCTCCATGTGGGGTCGGAAAACTATCCTATGTAGGGGAAGCGCAGGCGAACACCGCTACTCGGGCCTTCGGTGGAGTTCCCCATGGGGACACGAAATGCTGTCCTGGGTAATGAAGCGCATGCGGACACCGCCACTGTGGCCTTCGGTGGAGCTCCGCATGGGTCCACGAAGCGCTGTACTGAGTGGGGGAAGCGCATGCGTACAGAGCCACTGTGGCTTTCGGTGGAGCTCGCTATGCGGCCACGATGTCCTGGGTAGTGAAGCGCATGCGGACACCGCCACTGGGGCCTTCGGTGGAGCTCCGCATGGGTCCACGAAGCGCTGTACTGGGTGGGGGAAGCGCATGCGTACAGAGCCACTGTGGCTTTCGGTGGAGCTCGCTATGCGGCCACGATGTACGGGGTAGGGGAAACGCATGCGCACACCGCCACTGGGGCCTTCGGTGGGGCATGGGGCCACGAAGCGCTGCACTGGGGAGGGGAAGTGCACGCGGACACCGCCATTCGGGCCTTCGGTGGAGCTCCACATGGGATCACGAAACACTGTGGTCGGTGGGGGAAACGCATGCGGACACCGCCACTGGGGCCTTCGGCGGAGCTCCCTCTGGGGCAACGAAGCGCTGCACTGGGGAGGGGAAGCGCACGCGGACACCGCCATTCGGGCCTTCTGTGGAGCTCCCTATGGGGCCACGACACGTGTGAGGGGTGTGATGACATGGGAGTGGTGGACGCGTGCGGGCGGTGGCACTGGGGCCTTCGGTGGAACCCCTGTGCGAGCCACGAAACGTGCAAGGGGCGTACCAACATGGGTGTGGCGGACGCGCGCGGGTGGTGGCATTGGGGCATTCGGAGGAGCTCCCTATGAAGCCACAAAACGTATGAGAGTTGTGCCGACATGGGCGTTGCGAACGCATGCGGGCAATGCCAATGTGGCTTTCGGTGGGTCTTCCTATGGGGTCACGAAGCGTGTGAGAGCTGTGCCGACATGGGTGTGGTGGGCGCAAACGGGTGGTGACACTGAGGCCCGCCGTGGAGCTTCCTATGGGGCCGCGAAACGTGTGAGGGGCGTGTATGGCGGACGCATGCGGGCGGTAGCACGAAACATGTGAGGGGTGCGCCGAAGCTGATGGCGATGATGGTGATGATGACGGCCATGATGGCGATGATGGTGATGCTGACGGCCATGATGATGATGACGGCGATCAGGACGATGGTGATGACGTCGATTGCGCTGGCGGTGGTGGTGGTCATGGTGATAGTGTTGGTGGTGACGATGATGACGATGATGACGATGATTTGTCCAAACCAATTTACGCTGGCCTTGTTACAATTTGTTTGCAAAGGTGGGCTGCCGATGACGAGGCAACGCAGTGCAGAGGGCCCACGCTGAGCCCACAAAACATGCCCTGGGCCCCAATCCTCAAGGCACGAGGGCACTCAACATCACCCCGTCACCAGGGGGCCTCGAAAAATAAGCTCACTCTGCGCTCCAGCTTCCAAACCTCAGCCACAGACCGGCGCCTGCGAGCTGTGGCTCTCATTCGAACGTGGGTCTGCTGAGACACACTGCCCGGCGACAGCTGGTTACGGCGGCAGGTGCGAGCAAACATAAACGCGTCAAACATAGCAGCATTTAAAAGCAGCGCCGCGCGAGGCCGTTCAGTTGTCGGGAGCAGCGAGAAACGCCATGGGGGGAAAATCAGAGAAAGGGGGCATCAATTCTCCGAACCAACGTTCGCATATCCAATAGAACCGCGAGCAGCGTGAATATCGCCGAAGACGTTAAGAGAGGGGTCGTACGTATCATAGCAGCAACCGAAAAGACAGCCATGATATTAGGAGTGGAATCTGGCAGACGTGTTCAATCCTCTCGTGAGTACGATCAAAAAAGTGGGGCCAAGATAAGACCCAGACTTAATAATCACAAACTTGACAGCTTTATAAACATAACCTGCGACGTCCTCGGGAACCTCGCCCATCCACCTCCTCGTCCTAATCATCAGGTCGACCTTGGCATCATGAGGGGACTCAGGCGAGGCAGCTAGAGCACGGCCAACAGCGGCCTGGAAGAGCTCCCCTTCCTCGGGGATGCCCTGTGGTGACGCAACTAGCACTCCTCGAACGCTGCGGTACGTAGCCAGGAGAGCAGGAACAAAACTCACACTGGCCCATCCTGACGTTGCGCGGGCAATACAGGCGTCATCGCACGCAAACAACTGTTCCAAGTCCTCCAGGATCTCCAAAATCTCCGAACACCTCGAAACCAATCTGAACTTGATAGCCCGAGACACCACCTCAAGGTTTTTGCACTGAACAGGAATGCCCATGGAGGTAAGGTTCGAAATCATAGTTGCGACTGAAACGAGGCCCAACGACCAGAAGCTGGAGTGCGTCCTTATACGCCGCGGACACCGATCGTGGAAAAGGAGCGAATTGCATAA